CCTTCTACACAGGACCTCTGCCACCTTTCTTTTGTTTACGCTTCTTATAATAAATTTTCTATCTAAAACTAACCCTCTGTGGTCTACAAATTTCCTTCTTTAAGTTTGTGAGACAAGATTTTGTGAGTCACTGACATGGTGGAAATTTTGTGTGACCATGGGCTTCTGCACCCTAACCTTTAAGTTATGGATCTCCTGAGGTGAAAGAGAAAGCCTCCACTGAATGCAGACCCCAGCTTCTCTGCATTAAAATATCACTTCTTGACTAATACCTAAAAGATTCTGTGTTTTACCTCCAAGAAACTTGCACATCCATGTTTATTGCTGTTTTATTCACAGTAGCAAAGAAATGGAACTAGCCTAGAGTATCCATCCATCAGTGAATGACTAATGAAAATGTGGTACATATACACAATGGAACTTTATTCTGCTATAAAGAAAAATGAAATTAATAATGAAATGGATCTGGAATTATTTTTGCATTGAAATTTTTTATTTATTGATTTTTTTGTGTGTATTTCATATAGAACATCCCAAACAATCTTATTCATCTTTATACCCACATCCCCAATGTCACCTCCCATAACCCCTACACCCCCCCTCCCCACCACTAGAGCCTATATACTCTGTCATCCCTGTTACTGTCCACTATGTTATCAGTGCCTCCAGCTGTTCAACAGGCAAGTCCATCTGCTGAGTCTAGCCAGCCTATCTACAATTCCTTATTTTAGAAAGATCAGCTGTTTCTCATCTAGCAGCAATCAGTTGTCAATATTCCTTTAGATAAGATCGGGGTCTGCCGTTCATTTCCCCAGTTCTATTCTGGGTTACTATCTGGGAGTCTCTTGGACCACCCTGGTCAACAACTCAAAGGAAGGTATCTCCTGTCTCGCATTGTTTCTTGTATGTAGCCTTTAGCTATACACATGTACTCTTAAAGAAGTATTCTGAAATTATTATATTAAGTAAAATGAGACAGATTCACAATGATAAATACTGAAGGCTCTTTGTCATATGAGATGATATATGGATATGCTTGTGGATATAGGTCCTGAGACTAGAAAGGAGATCTGAAATGGCAAAAAAGGAGATTTTGAGGATGGGAGGAGAGTAGAAACACGTGACAGGAAAACAGAAAGGGGACGTTTGCAGATGGAATACTTTAAATAGGGGACACAGGAATAGTCAGGAAAACGAAGATGAAGAGGATTAATACAAAGAAATTTTGTGTGAAATGTCATAATGAAATGCTATACATTTTTTGCTAAATTTTAAAAAAG